TAGAGCACCTTCTTAGCAAACACAAGGTCCTGATTCAAACCCTAATTCCATCAAGAAAACTCACAAATCAAAAAACAAAAAAAAAAAAAAATTGAAGAGAAAACATTCTACGAGATCATCAAGTATAAACGCAGTGAGAGGAGATGGAATAAGATGGGACGTCCTGGCAGATGTACGGTGCCCAGAGTGCTAAGGATAATGACGAGTAGCATGTGAGTTATAAATGAAGGAAGGAAGACAGATTAGACCCTGCTATTATTAAAAGTGAAAGGAGGTCACTGAAAGGAATCCTGGAAAAATGCAAAGTTTGTAGAAAAAGAAGCATCCACAAAGGAAACTCACTATTTCCTTCTGGTTAATATTGTTTTTAATGGACAGTATGCTACAAAATCTTGAATACTTTTCTTGTCCTTCCTTCCTTATCTTCCTTCCATCCTTCCTTAGATTCCTTCCTTCCTTCCTTCCTTCTTTCCTTTTTTTTCTTTTTTTTTTCCTGGTGCTAGGAATGTAACCTAGGGCCTTCAGCATGCTAGGCAAGAGTTCTACCACTGAGCTTCACCCTTCCTTAGCCTTTAAATATCTGAGACAACCAAATCTGCCTCAGAAGTTACTTTGCCCAAAATATCACTTAAAAGACTCAACTTATATATAAAACAGACATCTCTGTGATATAAACTCATCCCAGCTTTTTAAGGAATGTATATATAAACTTACTATACACATACTCACACAGGAACACGTATGATTGATGGAACCATGTCAATACAAAAGAACTAGAGAAATCTAAAAAATGAATCCAATGTAATGTACTTTTTAAAAGGTTTTAAAACTAATTAGTTACTAATTACTTCATCTATAAGAAGCTAGCAAAGTACACTGAAAAAATATTGTTTAAAAATATAAAAACTAAGCTGGGCACTGGTAGCTCATGCCTGTAACCTATATCCTTAGGAGCCTGAGATTTAAAAATTATGATTCAAAGCTAATCCAAGCAGGGAAGTCCATGAGACTCTATTTCTAATTAAACATCAACAAAGCTAGAAGTAGAGCTATGGCTCAAGTGGTAGAGGACCAGTTTTGAGAAAAAAAAGTTCATAAATAGCACCCAAGCCTTGAGTTCAAGTCTCTGTCCCAGCACAAAACAAAAATGGAAAAACCGATGAATATATATATATATGCATATATATATATATATACACATGTAGAAAGAGAAAGAGAGAGAGAGAGAAAGGGAGAGAGAGAGAGCACAACATACAAGAACCAAAACACTCTATTTATAAAAGCCAATGTAGTAGCAGCAACATAACTCCAGTCTCAAAAACTTAAGTGAACTCAGTAAACATAACAACTGGTCAGTAAGAATAAGGAAAAAAAAAAACATTCCACATCAAAAAAAGGTCATTTGATAGAATCAAATTTAATGAGGTTAGAAATTTCTCCTTGATTTATGATTGTGATTTTTGAGATCTAAAGGAGGCTAAAAGTACAAAGAAAAAGGGCTGGGGATGTAGCTCAGTATAGAGCTTTTTGCCTAGCATGCACAACACCCTGGATTTGAGTGACAGTCTGATGAAAAGAAATCAAATAAAAACTAAAACTAAACTCAGCCAGATGCCAAAGGCTCATATTTGTAATCCTAGCTACTCAGGAGGCTGAGATCTGGAGGCTTACAGTTTGAGATCAGCCTGGGCAGAAAAGTTCTAAACTCCAAAATAATCTGTAAAATGTTGGTCTAGAGGTGTGGCTCAAGTGGTAGAGTCCTAGCTGGGCAAGCAAGCCAAGTGAAAGCAACAGGCCTTAGTGTTAAAGCCTTGATGAGGAGGAGAGGAGAGGAAAGGGAAGGGAAGAAAGAGAAGAGAAATAATTAATTAGTTAATTAATTAGCATGCAAGCAAACACTAAAACAAAGTGCTTTAAAATTAAGAGACTCTTAAGGGACCTAAGAGAACCCACAGATGACTTGCAAAGACTGGTAGAACTTGGGGATATATGCTTTATCTTTCTAAATTCTCTTGTCAGCCCCTATGATCTCACTACAGATGAAAACCAAACTCTAAAGTAGTATCTGGCTGTCAATGTCAGAGACAGAACATTAGCCTGGTGTGATGCACACGACACTTCCGTTAGCACTTCAGAAAGGCAAAAGGAACAGTAAGAAATACGGAGCAGAGCACTGATTACTCTGCTAAAGATTTTTTTTAATAGATTGCAAGTATCATTAGAAGCCAGGCGCTGGTGGCTCACGCCTGTAATACTAGCTACTAAGGAGGCTGAGATCTGAGGATTGTTAAGGTTACAACCAGCCCAGGCAGGAAAGTCCTGAGGTTCTTATCTCCAACAAACCACCAGAAAACTGGAAGTGGCACTGTGGCTCAAGTGGTAGCGTACTAGCCTTGAGCTGAAGAGCTCAGGGACAGCACCCAGGCCGAGTTCAAGCCCCTTGACAGGCAAAAAAAAAAAAAAAATTTAAGTAGAATTCTTTTGAAATGCATTGTAATGGATTAGGAGAATAAAAGTTTTTTAAATCATGAGCTAAAATGTAAAGAGAAAGCAAATGGCTTTGTGTTTGGGGCTAGTGTATTGGTCTAGAATAGAGCTCTGCTAGAGAATGCTAGAGTTCAGCTGGGTCCCAAGGGACCAGGATTCAGCACCAAAGAGCAGACAACATGGTCTACTGATTTTGTCTCCAAGTACTCCTGGTTATACACACTTTAAAAAGGAGCCTTAACATTGAAAATAGAAATTTTAATTCACATACAAGCATCTGTTAGTGAGTCTGTTTCAACCAAGAACATAACATGGTGCACATTGTGGTGTGGCAGATGTCTTTCCATTAGCCAGAACATCTTTGCACTCCTGTTTCCTGGGCATGTGTGCAGAGGTAATGAGAGGTTCCTAGGACAGATTTGTAGATAACTATCTCAACTAGACATTCCTACATTTTGTCCACAGAGTGAGTACAGAAAACCATCTTGCCTGGCTTTGTTCCAGGAGGTCTCCTAATTTCATATGAATACTAAACTAAAAGATACTTTCATTTTCAGGATTTCTTCTTTCTTTTTTTTAAATTTTTCCAGGGCTGAGGACCGAACCCAGGGCCTTGCGCAGGCTGAGCAGGCGCCCTTCCGCTGGGCTAAGCCCCCAGCCCCAGGATTTCTTCTTTACCTCTTAATTTCCCATGTCTGAGGGTCAGCATGATCAAGAAAGAAAATCAGAGTGCTCTACTAAATTGTAGCACCTTGGAAATCATCATCATCAGTAGTGTTTTAGAGCAAAGTCCACATTAACAGTAGCATCTGCTTTTCCTTTCTGAAGACAGTAGCAACTTACTAATCCCTGAGTGAAATGGAGCTAACAATAGGATCTACTTAGTGAGGTTTAAAAGAGACAATCATACAAAGCCCCTAGCAAAGTGCCTGGTATGAAATAAAGAACTCAAACATAGTCATTAGGATTACTGTCTCATTTTATTCTTTACTCAACCTGTGGGGAGGAATTTTACCATTTTGAGGCTGAGGGTGTTGGAACTGGCCTGTCCAGCTAACAGAGTGGAGGGTCACCACTTTCTGGCTGAGCCAGGACAATGCTCAGGACAATGGTAAGTGCCCACTCAGATTCTGAACTCCATCCTAGTTTTAGAGCTGTGAGACACCTTTGAGACACTGTACAAGTACTGAAGCTCTCAGGACCTTCTTCTTTACTATCAGGATTCTAAGTACTAAATACTCATCTATAGTATGAACTCCATAAATAACGCTGTCTATTCAGTACACATTAACTGGGCTCCTGCTAGTGCCAGATAGTGTGCCAGATATAGTTCTAAATTAGTGTTCCTACATTTATCTAAGTCATGATCAGTCATCTGGAGAGCTTTTAAAAAAGTCCTAACACCCCATGTATAACAGAGATGAATTCAATCACAATTCTTATGGTGAGACACAAGCATCCAGGTGAAGCTCCCAGATAGTTCTAATGTGCAAACACTCCTGGACACCTGTTTTTTGTTTTGTTTTGTTTTTACCAATCCTGGGGCTTGAACTCTGGGCCTGGGCACTGTCCCTGAGCTTCTTTTGCTCAAGGCTAATTCTCTACTACTTGAGTCATAGCACCACTTCTAGCTTTTTTGAGTAGTTTATAGGAGTAAGAGTCTTGTGGACTTTCCTGCATCATCTGGCTTTGAACCACGATCCTCAGTTCCCAGCCTCCCAAGTAGTGAGATTACCGGCATGGGCCACCAGTGCCCAGCTTGGACACCCCTGTTTTAGGGGCAAGACTCAAGTGTCTGCATGGAAGGCGCTCCCAGTATACAAACTCTGCTTTTGTGATGTCACACTGTTTCAGGATTTCAGCCATCAAGCTATGGTTGGTTGAGTGCTGCTCCTTAGGGACTCTCCATGAACTTGCCAACTTCACCACCATCACTACCACCATGTAGCCTCCTTCTCCAAGGCCAGCAAAATCACCAAATTACCTCCATCCAGCGACCAATTTCTGAGCCTTGCCGTCAAATTCCTCACAACTAATTGGACCACTTACTCTCTCACAGAGCCCATTCCTTCCAGTCTACAAACAGGCTTGCTCCTGGGACACAGAGGTGGAGGATGGATGCGGGGATAGCATCTGAACACCAGTCTATTGGCAGTTACAAAATACAAAACTTTTCCCCAACTTAAAACTGCTTTTCTAAGCCATAAAAACCTTATCATATTTAATTTTACAACTTTATAATTTCAGATGAAACATGGTTAAAAAGAATACCTTTAGGGCTGGGAAGGTAGCTCAGTGATAGAGTGCTTGCCTTACATACATGAGGCCCTGGGTTTGATGCCTCAGCACCACATAAGCAAAAAGAAAAAAGCCGGAAGTGGCGCTGTGGCTCAAGTGGTAGAGCGCTAGCCTTGAGCTGAAGAGCTGAGGGATAGCGCCCAGACCCAGAGTTCAAGCCCCCTGACTGGACCCAAAAAAAAAAAAAGAAAGAAAGAAAAAAGAATACACTTTACCTTAATTTAAGAAGTGGCTGGGTCACCCACTTCTTTAACCTTCGCTTCCCAAATGACGTCTTAGTGTGGTCTAAAACCCAAAGTAAACTTCCTTTGGTCTTCAGATCAGTCTAAGAAAAATTTTAAAAAACAAAAATGTCAACTAGTTATATTTGTGTCAAACTATTAGGTATTCATGGACCCTAACTATTCCACTCAACAAATTTTAAGTGTTACACATGTCTAATAATGAGGGGCTCATTCACACAAAATAAATGTTGATATTTTTACAAAGAAAAGGGACTGTCTATGTATTTTGGCAATTGATTAAATTATTCAGAAGCTTCCATGGAAAGAGAGACCAAGGTTAAACAAAGAGAGGATGTCAATTCTCAGCTTCTGTCTCTACAAGGTTCCACTCCTGGACAGCAGAAGGAACTGAAAAGCAGATTTTGACCTAAGGTTTCTTCTGCCTTAGGAACTGGTTTTCAGAACTGACTCTGGTAGGACTGGATAGGGAAGGTGTGGCAGGAGCAAGCAAAGATTGGAATGCCAGGGCTATGTCTATAAGTTTGGTGGGAGCTCTTCTTCAACAACCCATCCAGAAATGTCCTCATTCCTGCTCCATTTCTTATCATAGTTCCATGTGCAGAGCTGATGGAAATGTGTGAAACAGATCTGCAGCCTCTCCATCATGGAGCGACAGGATGAAAATGTTAATGAGCACTATAAGTCTGGCTGGAGTACACTACTTCACTCTCATCCAAGATTCAGGAAAACAAATTCAGTTTCTACTTGGCAGCAGTGATAAAGTATTTCTGAAGAGCTTTCAATCACTTCATTCAAATGGTTCACATTTCTGACTACTTAACCAAATGATTTGGAATTAGCATTTTATCTGAAATTAAGTTTTATTTCTTGATGACTTTGTAATAACATTAATTTTACAACCTAATACCTCATACTTTCCCAAGTAATAATTTTGTGGGGATAGGTGCCATGACTGGGACTTGAACTCAGGGCCTGAGCTCTCACTCAACCTTGTTGTGTATGGCTAGTGTTCTACACTTGAGCCATGCTTCTCGTTCAGTCATTTTTGTGGTTAATTAGAGATAAGAGTCTCAAGGATTTATTTGCACAGGATAGTGTAGAAATTTGATCCTCAGATCTTACCTTACTGAATAGCTAGGATTATAAGCATGAGCCACCAGTGCTTGCTTCCAAGTGTTAATTTAATAAACAAATCCTATCATTTACCTAATTCATCAATGAAGGACAAATAGACAATGAAAATTATTGAAGTAAGAGACACATTTACTAGTCAAATTGCATACCACAGTAACTTGTTTTACATTCTGCGTAATGAAATTGCAGACCTACCAACAAGTTAAAGGTATATAAGAAAAAGATCTAATCAACCTGACAAAGAAAATTCACTTCATATTAATTTTCAAAGTTATCTTCCTAAATAAATATGTAATATAGAAATTAAGACAGACACTATCAGGATGAAATATCCTTAGGTTATTAAAAAGGATAGCTTGATAACATCCTTAAAAAGAAAAGGCATTGTTGTTATTTTTACCTGCATTCTGAAGAACAGCCTCATACTTTATAATTTTTATTTCAAAACCATTTTGAATCAACTAGCCCTCATGTTGACCTGACCTGATTCTGTAGGATTTCCAGATTCCCTAAAGTTGTTCCATTAATGGTCATAAATTCCATGTCACTTGACAGCTGTTTAAAATTCCTGTAAAAGATTGAAATATAACCAGTAACCACATAATGCATAAGGAAATTTTTAAAAACTAACAGAGCAACACAAGATGAGAATTCACTAGGCTACTTGTCTTCCATTCATGCCAGTGCTGTTAAATATACTGATGCAAAAGGGCCGCTGCTCCAACACCAAAGCCAAAAACATGGAAGGAAAGTAACAGTTGCAGTGTTTTGCTTTTGTTTTACATCTCCAGGAATAGAAACAAGTATAGTCTTTTATTACGGCAGAGTACGTGATGGTACTTTCAGGAAAAGCTATGCAATTAACTAGAAAAAACATGTCAAGATATTTTAAATTGTCCTCTTGTTCTATGATGAGATAATCTTGATAAACACTAAAAGCTTTCACTTAACAATCTTATATGTGCAACAAATGTTATTTACTCTATAATTATCAACACGGTACCATGGTGGCCAATGTTGTTTGTACAAAACAGAGTAAGTAGCTAAAGTTATTTCCTTAATAAGGTTCAAAGAATTTGCACTCACCTTAAGTCCTTGTAAATATCTAAAACTAGATTTTTTTAACTTTATTTTATCATATAGATGCTGTACAGAGGGGTTACAGTTACGAGTGAGGTAATGTGTACATTTCTTGATGAACATTGTAAAACTAAATTTTTAAGCCATATATTTCAAATAGACTTGAAAAATTTAGATTCAATATAACTTTTTTAAAAAGTATATACACTTCCAGCTTATATTCAGAAATAGTAACTGACATGTTACAAATGTAGCTAATTCAACTTCCTTTATCAGCCAATTCAAGTGTTGCTTCTGTCAGTAGCACTTAACAAAATGACTTTATGTAAGTATGTATGTATGTATGTATTTAGAGACAGATCTCCAGCCAAACCTGGCCTTGGAAATTGTAGATTCTCCTGCCTCCACCTTCCAAGTGCTGGAATCTTCTTGGTGTATGGTATCATGTCTACGTCTTGATAGCATATTTTTAAAAACAATACAAATGTGGGGGGGGGACCAGGGGAGATGGGAAGGGATGGGAAGGGGAAACAAAGGAGGAGGCAACAATGCTTGATAAGAAATGTACTCATTACCTTGCCCATGTAATTGTAACCCCTCTGTACAGTATTTTCACAATAAAAAATAAAAATAAAAAATTTAAATTTAAATTTTTTTAAAAAAATTAAAAATAAAAACAATACAAGTAATGTCAGGTCACTAAAGAAGAAAAGTGTTAATGTTTGATTGTCAAAAAGGATATATTTTTGTGGCAAAATTTGGTTTGGATCTATATACTACCTGATACAGAGGGGATGAGGAAGAAGGCTTTGAGCCCTAACTAACATATAATTATTGGAGACTACCAATATTCACATTACCAACAAAGAAACCAGTAATGTGAACAGCCACATTCGTTTAGGTCCTTTACAGAGAAAAGTCATGGTTCTTTTCATTAACTGCATTAATGCGCTGTGTGTAATTTGTTTTTTCTTTCTTTCTTTGGCTACTTCTGTTATTGTTTTCCTTTTTGCCCTATCTGAACAAGTAATCTAACTTTCAAACTAGATACAATGAGAATTTTCTTTAAATCAACAGCCACACTGATTTTAATAAGATCTCAACCATTGGGCAATCTTAAATTAGAAGGATTCCTACAAAAGAGTAATTATCAAACTGCTGTAAGGACTAACCATGCTTTTGAGATTTCCCATATATTTTTGGTTGATAAGTATTTTGAAGGTAGACTCTTTTCCAAACAAAATCAATTTCCTTCAGCCAGTGTCTAGTTCCATGTAGAATTATATACATTGTGGAACTAAGGTTGTATCAGCCAACATCCTCAGGTATTTAACAGTATATGGTCACTGAACTGAAATATTCAAACAATCTTAAATTATTTATTCTGTGAAAAAGTCAAATTTTATGTGCTTTGAAATGAACCTCATAAACAATGCTTGGCTAGAATTCATGCTGTGTGAATCTGGATAGAAATCTTATAAATACATGGGAAAATACTTCATTAATATTTTAGACACCAAAACTTTTATAAAGCATGCTTTTCTTTCTAAAGTTTTAAAATGGAAGGAAAAGATTCTTGCCCAGAGCTTACCAGGGAAACTCAAGACTGTATCATTTCTATACTACTTTATGAGAAAGGAAAGGAAGAAGGAAAGGAAGGGATGGAGGAAGGAAGGGATGGAGGAAGGAAGGGATGAGGAAAGGAAGGAAGGAAGGAAGGAAGGAAGGAAGGGAAGGAGGGAGGGAGGGAGGGAGGGAGGGAGGGAGGGAGGGAGGGAGGGAGGGAAGGAGGGAGGGAGGAATCCCAAAACTATTCTGCAGGATATTCTACCAGTAGAATAGAAATTCCACAGTCTAGTCAAGATCCAAGCTCACAGGCAGATCTTCCTCAGGATAGCAGTCTTCTCAGACCTGCTGCATTAGCTTGTTTGTTTATATTTTTTTCTTTCTAAATTGTTTATCTTTAGCTAAACTAACCTTTTCATTGTATACCATTCTTAAATCCTATCATCTCATTTCAAAGCTTTACTACTTCTTATTTATGTTCTTCCATGACTAGTATTGTTTTCTTAGTGTCTTTTAGCATGCTTTAAAACAGTACACTATACTTTTTCTTTCCTCTGTGGACATGTCTTTCTGGCATTCATTCATTATCTGTAACGATACTATCTTGCTCTGCTGTGGTCTGAATATAAAATGTCCTCACAGGCTCATGTGTTGAACATGGTCCTCAGCTGGTAGTTCCCATGGAAACTTTGGGAGGTGGAGTCTAGTACAATTAGGTGATTGCAGGCATGCTTTTTGAAGATCAGACCAGGTCAACAGTCCTTTCCTCTGCTTCCTTTCCCTGTCAGCCATGACCTAAGCTGGACCATGCCCTCCCTACCTGGACAGACTGAACCCTCTGAAACTATAAACTAAAAATAAAGCTTTTTGCCCTTAAATTGCTTCTGTCAAGTATTTGGTAATCATGATGAGAAAAGTATCAAATATGTCCCTGTTATTCTCAAGAAAAATACCTTTCACCACTCTAGCCAGCAACTTCGAACCAGTACCACTTCTTGTTACCTAATTCAATTCTGCCATTTTACTGAGTTCACTCCTACAGGCCACCCACTACTACTGAAAAGAGCTAACTTACACCAGATCATGTAATGGAGATAATTCTTGACAGAGCCAAGACAATGGGCTAGTGAAGGTGGAATATAGAAAGGCAAGAAAATTACCCACTGACATTTTAACTTCATGGGTTATTAAACTAGTATTTCCCTAGACAGTCAATTAACAGCTTTGAAATGCCTGACATCTACCAACTTAGTTTTTCTTGCAAAAAGTTATCTGGTCCATAAAATAAAAAATGAAACCAATAGTAAGGAAGATAGTAAAACTTATAAATACTTTTAGTAATACTTTATAATCCAATTAATATAAGGCATAGTTGTATAGTCAAAACAATATATCAAATAGCTATCATGAATACACTTTGACAGCATTTTTAATTAAGAAATATTTTAATTATTGCTCAGCAACAATATCAAACAGTTAATCCTTATACCCTCCTTAGTATTTTATCATTAGCAGGCAAAACTCTCATTTCTAATTTGATTTATGAAATGTTTTAATACAACATTTCTTTCCTCCTTTTTTCTACTTACTCAGGTTTAGAGAGCATCTTTTCCAAATTAAATTCTTTTAGATATTTTATTATGCCAGCCAAAGAGCAAATCACAGGCTTCTCCAAATTAATGATGCCAGAAAAACTTTGGGAACCTAAAAAAGCAAAGCATATACCCTCATTAACATGATTACTATTATTGAAAACAAATTTTAAGCTAAACAAAATATATTTTATAGTTAAAAATATTTATTATTAAATATTACTTAAATGTGAAACATTAAATTATATTTAAAAATAGTATCAATGTGAAACATTAGATATTATTAAAATAATAGTTTGGCTGAGATGCAACCTCCTAAACTGAAAGGTCACCTTTGAGAAAAAGTGATCATAAATACCTATGGTATGGAGAAAAGCACATTGTTTTGGTGATGAATTGAATCTTTTGGGAAGAACAAGGGGGTACCATTTTTAATAGTTCAAACTCTATCCTAAGACTGTGAAAATAGAGGGTGAGTTGAAAATTCTTTTATAACCGTTAAAAAAAAAAACCAGTAGAGACAACCTAAATAAACATCCCTAGGGTAATAGTTAAATAAGTTTTGGTAAATCCCAATCACAGGATAGCTCTTGAAAGGACTGGCTTATAGCTATTTGAATTGATATAGATGAATAACCACCACACATTGCTAATGACAGGGGCTGGTAGTGCAGCCATTCTCATTGCTCACCACCAACATGGGAACAGCTCTCAGTCTGGCCACCCTACTTCACTTTTGCACCCTGTAGGGGATTCTAAACAATGCAAAATGGGAGGCTTTACAGGACAAATAAGGGGAAGAAAAGACTGGGGGGTGGAGTGGCTCACTGACAGACTGCCTGCCTGGCAAGTGCAAGAATATAAGTTCAAAACCAAAAACCATGAAATTTCCAAAACCAGATGCTGAAGCCTACATGAAAGGCAATGCTAACAAGACATGATGAAACTCTCAGGCACGTGGCAAGGACAAACATTATCTGTATGGGGTGTAATGAGAACTGAAACAAGCCCAAGTGTGGGCCAAAAGGAAAAATGTGTATTCACATCACTAAACTGAACACTAACATAAGCTGGACTGTCTTGTATACGAGGTACAGACAAAATAAAACACTAATGCCTGATGAGGAAATGCAATCAGACAAACAGTGGTTACTTAACATGTTAGGATCCCATTACTAACGTGCTGGTATTTTAATTCTAACAACCAACCTTTCAGATGCTAGTCTTCTTAAGAATACCTAAACATTCTATAAAACTGCTAAGCTACTAATGAACCACCTTTAAAGGTGAGCAAAAAGAAAAGTTGGTCAATAATTCCATAGAATCAAGTGAATCTGTCAAAAGCAGCAAGTGACCACATGGTTACAACTATAAAGAAGAGGCTACAGTTGTATTCTGTAATCTTCCTGCCTCAGCTTCCTAAGTGCTGAGATTACAGGTATGAGCTACAGGGTGGCTGCAGTGGTGTTCTTGAAGAGCACAAGAATAGGGCACTTAAAAAAAGAAGAGGGCCCTTTGCCCTCAGCTCCTTCTACTTCTGGCTGATTACTGTCTACCTGTCATTCAATGGAACGTCACATTCACACCATTAGCCAAATCTCAAGTCAGTACAGTTTGACAAATACACTAACATGGATAAAATATTTACCTTTGATGTCTACTATCTCTTTTCCATAAAACTCTGAAACTACCTGGAAAGCATGTCTGTATTCAAAATAAATGTTGTCCATCCTTTCTACCCGAATTCTGTCATCCCGCACACTGAAAGAAAATAAAAATAAAAATATCAAAGTATTACCCCATTATTTCAAACTATTCACTAAGACCTCACCCTGAACAACAGCAGCAAAAAGACAAGAATCATTCCTTCTTTGAAGAGGTTGAAACAATGAGAGAAAGAGAAGAAGGGAGGGAGGAAAAAAGGGAAGAAAGAAAGGAAAAGAGAGAGAAAAAGAACATTTCCCTGCTCAAATATCCCCAATTCATAAAATATCACAACTATTATTTTTATATCCTGGCATCAGGTATCACCTAGCACACCGTGGACTTTCTCATCTGCATTATTAAAAAAATTCATTGAAATTAAGTTAACTGTATTACCCGTACCTAGGAAGTAAAACTGAAAAGCATCTTAATTTCATTAAATTATCTATTTAGAGATTCTAACAGCAGAACAAAGCATTGAGTAATTCCTTCTTTGAGGAGCTTCTTTGGACTTTTGCTAAATTCATTTTTTTTATCACAACCACCAGACAAATGCAGTAAATTCCTCTCTGAGTCAATTGGTTCATTAAATAAAGTGACTGTATAGTCTTCTTATCTATAAATGTATAAACAAAAGCATATCATCCATGCTAAGTGATTCATGTACTTTTCTATTTCCTGTCTTGATTCCCCATTCATTCATCCTTCTCTTTCCTTCTCTCCCTATTTTTATCTGTTTGTATGATCAGACAAAGGCATATTACCTACCTTGCTATGAATAAGTATATGATATGCATGAACTTACATTACATATATGTCATCTTACTATAAAGTGAAATGGCTTTTTATACATACTTTTCTGCACCTTGTCTACCTCACTAAATACTAACTCTTGAAATTCTCTCCATACAGAGTGACCTCGCCATAGCTCATTCTTTTGAATGACTGGAAAATATCCTATAGTACACAAAAGCTGAAATTTGTTTAACAATTTCCTCATTTTTGATATTTACGTGATGGTAACTATTTGCTTTGTGGTTTTTTCCAAAGATTTAATATTAAAGTAACAAAAAATTACAGATACCACTCTGTAGCCTATATATACCCTTCCCCAATCATTATCTATTTTTTTCAGATATGAATCCTTCAGATAAAAATCTTGAAATAAATAACAATAATAATAATAATGATAATGACAATGACATGAATATAAAAGGGAGATTCTCAGGTGGAAGAAAACCAGGAAAAGAAGAGAAACTTCTGGGAGAAAATATGATGGAACTAGAGAGGGAGGGAGAGGGAGAGAGAGAGAGAGTATAACAGTAGGAGAGGAACAGTTAGAAAGCATAACAGTGGGGGTGAATTTGACCAAAGTACATAGTAAGCATGTATGAAAATATCACAGTACACTCTCCTTGTACAATTAATTTACACTATAGAAACAGCCAATTTCACTTAAAAATATTCTATCATTACTAAATGACCCCATGCTGCTGACCACATATATGGTATATATGCGCACATCTGAGGGAAACTAGAGGAGAACACAGAAACAGGGGGGAACGGGAAAACATACAACTGCAGGACCCATCAGCGCCACTGGACACCGATCAAAACAAACTAAGCAACTCAAGGGCAACGATGGAAGGGAGGGAATGAGAGGGAAAGAGGGAACAGGTAACACTAAGCAAAAGGAAAAAAATGTACATATCACCCGATGTGGAGCAAATAGCTGTACTGTCAAAGCTCATAGGATTCACAAACTTTATAGACCACAATAAAGACAATTTGCCCCAAGAAGGTTAGAATGTGTTTGTGACTTTAACTAAGTATAACTATCTAACAAGACTATGAAATTTGTGAAATTTATGTCATCACTTAATCACAATGAAATATATATATTCTTATGTGATTAATATTAGGTAAATAAATCATATCTTAAACCTTATTATATCAAATTATGTAGTGCTTTTAAATTTACATCAGTGTAACTTTATTATAGCTATACAATTTGTACTCAATGTGGTATACTAGGAATGAGACAATCAACAATATATAAAACCTTCAAGAAGAAAATTGCAGAATGTTATTTTTTTGATATAAAAGACATGAATAGAAGTGTACTATCTTTAGCAATGAATATCTATTAAAACACAATTTCTCTCTAAATCAAATACATGTGCATATATGTACATATATATACATATGTATGTGTGTGTACCCAATCAGAATCCCACTGAAGTTCTTGTAAAACTGGACAATATAAACTGGAAATTTGTGAAGAAAACTAAAGTCCCAGTGCAGTTCTGAAGAGAACAGGTAGAAACCTTGCAACTCTGATACTGGCACTAAGCCACAGAAATAGAGGAACTGTGGTGCTGATACAAAGATAGGCAAAAAAAAAAAAAAAAATCCATGGACCAAGACTGAGAAGCCAATCTGGACACCACTGGCTCACGCCTGTAATCCTAGCTACTCAGGAGGCTGAGATCTGAGGATCACGGTTCAAAGCCAGCCCAGGCAGGAAAAGTCCATGAGACTCTTATCACCAATAAACCACTCAGAAAAAAAGAAAAGAAAAGAAAAAATGGAAGTGGCGCTGTGGCTCAAGTGGTAGAGCGCTAGCCTTGAGTTGAAGAGCTGAGGGACAGCACCCAGGCTCAGACTTCAAGCCCCACAACCGACAAAAAAAAAAAAGACTGAGAAGCCAGAAACAGGATCACATCTAGAGGGAAATACAGTGTGCAGCAGCAGTAGCATCATAAGCAGCAGGAGCAAGCAGCGCAGGATTCTGCTGCATACTAAAGCTAAAGAACCACCGCTCTAAACACAACGGTAAACCTGACTGGAACAATGGAAACCAGCTAACAGGAAAGAGCTACCGTTGCTCTGGAAGCTTATCTTATATACATTGGTATGTGTACATGTCGTGATCTAAGAAAATAAAAAGTATTTATAAAAATAAGCTGGAATATAACATCTAAGTTAAGATAATCTAGAAGTGTTCCCAATTTTATTCTTTTGCTCATTATGCTTCATGATCACAAGGCCCTGAGTTCAACCCCCAGTACCAGAAGAAGAAAAAAATTAGTTCTGTATGGATTGTAGATCTAAGTATGAAAGGGACAATAATACATAGGAAGAAAAAACATAGGAATATATCTATCATATCACAGTTTAAAATACAAAAAGTGTGACCTATAGAGAAAAACACTATTCACCTAACTAAAACACTCAATTCATAAAAAGGACACATAAGTAGGGTATAAAAACCCAAAGTAAAAAAGATTACAGCAAACACATTCCATTCATATCATAAAAATAGGCAGAATATCCATAAAGTAATAAAGACCATACAACCCAATAGAAAAAAATGGGTAAAAGTTAGAGAAACATAAAAGAGAATATTTAAATGGCCAATAAACATAATTTTTAAAGACTCATTATCATCAATTGTAGTAAAATAAATTAAGCCATAAAGACAACAACATATACCCAAAGAACAGCTGACAATATTAAATGTTATTAAAAAAACACACAAGGAAACAACTCTCAATAGTACTGAAATGCAAATAAAAACTCCTTTGGAACTTTGAAAATTCCCTGCACTGCACACTTGTGATTTATACATTTTTCATATTTGATACACTTCAATAAAAAGTTTCTACAAGAAACACATAAGTGTCATATTATAAGAGAAACTATTTGTGAAATAACAAATTCACCAAGGTTCCATTTAATGTACTTCATCACACAAGTTACATTTTTTAATTAACGATCAATTTTAAATCAGAAATAACTAATGCAAAAAAATCCCTAAGTAAAACTTCATAGGAAAAATTTTCCACTTAACAAGAAAAATACATACAAAGCAGCTGAAAGATTAAGTGTGGGATAACCAATTTGTATCAACATGGTTCTAAAAAAGTCCTACATAATGCTTTTAAATATTCATACTCACTTCTAATTACTCATATATCATAACAAATTATCAAATGATGACATTTTAAAGCACTCAACAGACATTTATGGACTAGCCCTTAAGCCCTTGAACTCAGTAGCCATCAGGGAGTTGGTATTGGAAGTGCTGCACCTCCCTCCTAATTCCCTCAATGACTCTCCATTCCCTGCTATGTGACCAAGAACCACGCTTCCATGTAGCATATTCAAAATTCTCTAACAAAACACATAACCCCCACCCATGTACAATTTGCTTTTTTTTTTTTTTTTTTGGGTCTGGTCGTGAGGCTTGAACTCTGGGCCTGGGCGCTGTCCCTCAGCTCTTCAGCTCAAGGCTAGCGCTCTACCACTTGAGCCACAGCGCCACTTCCAGCTTTCTTCTTTTTGCTTATGTGGTGCTGAGGAATCGAACCCAGGGCCTCAGACATGCAAGGCAAGCTCTCTACCACTGAGCCACCTTCCCAGCCCCACAATTTGCTTTTTTAAAAGGGCTGAGTAGACATGTTTTTACATAGTGATCTGGCCTGCATCACTTCTCTAACCTCTTTTCTTTCTGCCCCCCTCAGCTACTCCTTAAACACCACAGGCTGGCCAGGCCAGGCCAGGCCTCAGCACCATCTTTGTAACTCTGCCGCTTCTGTCCCAAATGCTCTTCTGTAGACACGCATATGGCATCCTCACCATTCTGTCTTCATCCAAAGTCTCCTTTCCAATGAGATCTCCCCTGATCACTGTGTAAATGGCTACCTCACTAGAATCCATGAGCACAGTGACTTCTGGGCTTGGGGGTTTGGTGGGGAGTGGGGGGGAGGGGGTTGAGGGGGACTGGGGGGAGGTCTTTTTTGCTTTTTTGTTATTTTAAATCCTGTAGTACTAGAGCTTAAACTCAGGGGCTCCTGTTTTGCTTAGTTTTTTCACTCAAGGCTGGTGCTCTACACTTGAGCTACAACTCCATTTTCAGATTTTGGCTGGTAAATTGAATATAATAGTCTCAAGGATTTGTCTTTTGGGGCTGGCTTTAAACCAAGATCCTCAGATCTCAGCCTTGTCAGTAGCTAAAATTACAAGCATGAGCCACCAGCCCTCAGCTTCAGTTT